TTGTGTGAGAAACCCACATGACACTAAAGGTCAGGCCATAATATTTGAATGGTATGCATTTGTTTGTTCTTATAGAACACTGTTTTAAAACTCTATTTTGCAATGGAAATATTTTTTTCCACAAGCCCTTTTCAAAGCCCCCGGTTTAAAACAAATAATATCTGAGCTTGTTCAAATTGAAGCAGAGGGAAGCAGTGACAATTTGCCATCTTCTATCCCAGTCTCCAACTTACCCCTTGAAGTTACCTTAGAACATCACAGCATTTCTAAAAGGAAAGACGTGGCTTGAGAATTGCCGGTCCATTGAATACGAAATTCTGGGATATTTTGCAATGGAAACAGTCCTTGGAAGGATCAGTTCTCTCTCTCTCTCTCTCTCTCTCTCTCTCTCTCTCTCCCTCTCCCCCTCCTGCCCTCTATCTTTCCTTCTCTCCCTCCTGCCCTCCCTCTTTCTCTCCAGCTAGTAAATTATCCTGAAATAATTTGCACAAAGTAAGTAGGCATGTGTGATGATGAACTCCAAAAACTGTCATTTGATTAGGGAAAAAAATAAGCTAAACCAAAGTAGATACAATTTTGGAGAGTCAGAGAGAACTTTGAATGTTAAAAAAAGAGCCCAATTATACATCTCCGGTTGGTGTGAGTCTTCTATCTCTGGTCAGCTCAGCAGTTAAAATCCACTTCTTCTGGAAATACTTTCATGTTCTAAGACTTCTTTTCTTCCATAGGAAAAGGCAAAGGTGATTCCAGTTAAAGCCAAAAAGCGTCAGTGAGTTTGAGGTTTAACTGCTCCCAGTTCAGTTTCCAAGCAACTCTAGAGGAAACATATTCTTTTTACATTTTAATAATATATTTTAAAAGGGTAAAAAAGATCCTTTTGTTCATGTTCAAGAAGAATTAACAAGTGTGGCTTCGTCTCGTCCCTTAGGAAAGGTACTGAAGGCAAATAAGAGGAGATGCTACCGTGTGAAATAGACGCTGCTGTCAAACCCAGAGGGTTCAGTAGTCTGGAAATAAAGCTTTCGTGGAGGAAGTAATTTAAGTGGTCTTCAGTATTAATGACTGTTAGCATTATTTTCCTTTTTGCAATCATATGGATACATTTATGCAGCCAGAGTAGCAAGGCCGAAAATTTGCCTACACCCTGCCTCATTTAGGGTGCTTTTGGCTGCAAGTAACAGATATTCACCTCAAATATCTTTAACTTATGGAATTTGTTTTCTCACATAACAAGAAGGGTGGGTGTAGTGTGGTCCATTCAGCAGTGTGACAGCATCATCATGGACCGAGCTTCCCTCTAGCTTCCTACCCTGCCCTCACAGTGTGTCTGCTAGTCCTCAGCTAACTGGCCTCTTGGTCCTAAGCTGTCTGCCACAGTTCCAGTCATTAACTGCATCAGAATGGAGACTTTCTTCCCTGTGTATCTCTCCTTTTCAGTGAGGGAAATCTTCCCAGATGCCCCCCAGTAGTGTCCCAATGTCTCATGGCCAGAATTGTTGCACAAGCCCATGCCTAAACCAATTGCTGACAAGGGAAGAGGGGCACAGTGACCAGTTTGGACTAATCAATATCTCATTCTGGGTCATGGGGGAAAGGGCCAGTTTCCCAGAACAAATGGCTGCAAAGAAAGAAGGAGGACCCCTAAAATCAGAGCAACCAACAGTATCTGCTACATAGTACAACTCAGTGTGCAAAAAATGAGCTTTCTCATTTGTAAATATCTTGCTCATGAGCTCCTATCCCACTGATGGCAGAGGTGAAAAATCTTAACTTCCAATTAAGGAAACTCGGTCACTTCTAGTTCAGAACAGTCTCTCCCAAGTTGGCTCAATTTCTTTTGGATAAATATTTAATCCAATTTAAGGTTCACATTCACTACCATGGATATCTATGTCCTCTCAAGGGCTGGTTCCTCATTCTCCTTTTCAAGATGGCATGTAGGGGCACAGTAAATCTTACACTTCCTTCTGATGATGGAGGTGGGCAAAGGATGAGGTCCACAGACTCCTCATTGTGCTGTCTCCGGGATCTTCACTGCCCTCCACAGAGATGTTCCTTGTCCTGCCCCATCACTGATGCTCCTTCTGGCCTCTGCTGCTGAGTACCACAGCTGGTAGAACTCATGGTCTGTGCTCCTACTTGCTGATACTCCTGGGTGGCTGGGCCAGCACCCTGTGCTGAGTAGGTCCCACCTTAGCTTTCACTGGCTCTGTGGATCCTTCTGAGACTTGGTTGTGACTTCGATTCAATCTCCCTGGCCCAAGTAATCCATCCTGCAGTTCTTAGCTGCAGGGTCATTTTGACCTTACAAGAAAAGGACAGCTAGCACATTCAGTTGCTTCTTTGTCCCTCTTGGTGATGGTGGAGAATGGTGGAGGGGGTTGCTGGGGTGTTCCCAGGCACTTGGGAATTACAGAGACTCAAGACACCAGCCCAGGCCCTCTCTGCATGAGCACAGTACACTATCAGTGATACTGCAGCCTTCTCATGTTGAGGCAGGCTCCCTGTGACTCATTTCATCCCAGAATCCCTAATAGGGATTACGGGCAAGCCAAATGCCTCTGGTTGATTTTCATCTACACCTGCCACTCCACCCAGCAGGAGCTGTGATCCAGAGGAAGGGACAGAGGACACACTTATCTGGCCCCTTGTGCTTCCTCTTTTCCTCTACTCTGACGTCCAACCCCCTAGACCAAAAGGGAGGCACGTGTGCCACTTCCCCTCCCTCCCTGTGTGGAACTCCCCTGCATCATATCCTTCTTCTTCCCTATCCTATGGCCTTCTGTGTGTTAGCAAGTGTTTTCACCTCTTCTCTTTCCTAGGAAAATAAATCTCATGGGCTAGAGAAAACGGTTTCCCTTAACAGGGAAAATGACCCAGATTACTGAAAGAGGAAAAACACTTCTGTTTGCAAAACAGCATTCACTGGTATGGGTATTTTAAAAATTTTATCCCTGCTCCATCACATGTCAGTTGTATATGTCAAACACATGTCTTTCAGTTTGAAACAGGCAAAGTTTCATTAAAGACAACATCTTTCACAGACATACTTATTTATGATGGGCATTCAAAGCAGTGACTCACTCATAGAGTTCTCGTGCATCTAGCTGGTTTAGTGAATCATTAAGATAGATGTCCCTTATTGAGTACCTACTATGTGCCCAAAATTTTACATCTGTTAATTTAACTACTTCAATTTAACCACTTACCCATAAGATAGTAATTATTATTTCCATCGTATATCTTCCTGAAGCTCAGAGAGGTTAAATAACTTTCACAAAGTCACACAGTGCTAAATCTAGAATTCAAGTCCAAGTCTTTCTGTCTCCCACATCTGAGTCCTTTCCTCCCAAGTAGGAGCTGCAGGGCAGCAGAGCACAATTAAGAGCACAAGACTGTGGGATCTGACCAACCTTGATTCCAGCTCCGAGTGACCACTTCTAATGTGACCTTGAACAAAAAATCACACAACTTCCTTAATCCTCAATTTTCTCATCTCTAAAAGGAAGTAATAATAGTTCACACCTTGTGTGGTTGTTGTGAAAATTAAATGAGGTCAAATACTATATGTATTAGAGCCTAGGGCAGCGTCCAGTGAGTACGCAACTATTATTGTTGTTATACTATAGAGCAGCGTCTCCAAAGGGCCTTCATGCTGAAAAGAATTTCATTTATTTATTTTTTTTGGTGAGGAAGATTGGCCCTGAGCTAACATCTGTTGCCAGTGTTCCTCTTTTTGCTCGAGGAAGATTTTCGCTGAGCTGACATCTGTGGCCACCTTCTATTTTGTATGTGGGATGCCCCCACAGCATGGCTTGATGCGTGGTTTGTAGGTCTGTGCCCAAGATCCCAGCCCGCGAACCCTGGGCCACCAAAAAAGAGTGCGCAAACTTAACCACTATGCCACCAGGCCAGCCCTGAAAAGAACTTTAGAGAGCATCAATTTCTATTGTAAAATTTTACAAAGGAGAAACAGATTCCAAAAGTTTACTTATCTATATTAAATATATGGACATATATTTATATACATATATTTTATATGTATATATAATTTTATATATATACAAAACTTTTGTCTCCAAAGCCTATGATATATATATTCAAAAGTTCATTGCCCTTTCTAAGGCAAATACTGGAAGTTCAGAAATATACAGATTCCTGCTGGGTTCCTCTTCAATCCATTGGTCTACGGGTGTCTGATGAACCTGTAGGTCAGAAAGACACTGAAGACACCATGGGGGAAAGAAAGCATTCATTGGTGTGGACAAAGCAGTGAAAGGAAATTCTAAAAGTCAGCTAAGACGGATATGAACGAAAACTGCCAGAGACCATTAGTTCATCCATCGTCATCAAAGAAGTCAGCTTGTAATTTCAAAAAACAAATAAAAATTGGGCCATAATTAGGCCCAATTAACTCATTCTTCATACACTTTCTCTGTAGTGGACATCTGTTGTTTGGGCTGCCTTTCTGGTAATTACAACCCAATTTCCCTTTGGAGGAACTCTATGACAGCCGTAGAGTTGTTTGGGAGTGACCACATCCCTGGCTCCAGGAGTGGGTCCCAAGTGGCTTAAACCATTCAGCTAAGCTCGTTCCCCAAACCGCAGTTCCGGGACAGGCACACAAGCTAGCAGGGCCAATGAGACCCCAAGGGTGTCAGGGGAGAAGCAGCCTTCGCTCTTCCTCTGGATATGTTGAGGGTTTAAGTAACATGGCCAAAGCCGCACAGAAGGTCGGTAAATGGTGGAGCTGGGCTTCTTATTCAGGATTTTTTGTCCCCAAAGCCTGTGTACTCTGCTCTAACTTTAAATTATGAGCTAATTTTTGAGTCAAACAGAGCAAACAAGAAGATGAATACATGTTTTTAGGATAAGTTTGCAGAGCCCATGAGGCTGGTGTACCGAGACTAAATAAATTCCAGATGTGTACATATCCCATTCTTAAATTCACCCATTGACATGATATAGGAAGAGGGACAAGAAATAATTATCAAGATTACCTCACTGTGCGCAGACAGATGCCCAGGTGGGTTTGCCTCTTGCTTGGAGGGTCCCTGGACGCCATGAGCTCTCCTGCAGACCCGTTCTCTCCTTCTTTCCGGGTGCGTGGCTGAGCTACACGTCCCCTGCCTCCCTTGCGGTTAGGTGTTATGACATTTCAGTTCTTGCCAATGGACTCAAGTGGAAGTGATCTGTGCCCAGACCTTGAGCCTGGGCGTGGCTCCTCTGTGTCCTTTCCCTTTCTCACTGGCTGGAATCCTTGACTGTGCATACAGGGTTAGTGGCCTAACATGGCAAAGCATCATGATGGAAGGAACTTGGGTCCCAGGAAAATCATGCAGATTAGAGCCATCCTGCTGATCAGAACTGCTGCCTCGGAACTGTTACATGAGAGAGAACCAGCTATCTGTAAGCCACATATTGCTGGATATTTATGATATAGCAACTTAGCATTTTGTACCCTAACTAAGGCAAGGGTCTAGAGGTCTTGGAAAAGAATTAGTCATCCCGCAGGTGAGCTCAGGGAGAGTACACAAACTCAGCTCTCTACCTCAGGTTAAAAGCTACAGAGTGCCATGCCTCTTTGTTAGTCTCTCAGCGTGACAGTTCACGGCAGTGTGCGAATAAAGCAAGCACTGGGTCAGGGACTGTGGCAGGCTGTGGAGACCTCAAAGCACGGAGCCAGCATCTGTAGCGACAGCAGAGGCAGAGGGCCGCAGCTTAGGAGAGTTCCCTAAAATCCTGGTGCTGTGAGCAGAGCCTTGGAGAGAACTGATGGACCCCACAAACATCTGTTACATGAAGACCAAAGATGAGAGGTCTCTTCTGCCTGAGGGAAGCTTCCAAAAATATTACTTTGATGGGGTTTCTTAAAAAAGAAATCAAACAGGCCAGCAATTCACTGATAGCCAAGGACTAGAACTTCTTTTTGTCTCTGATGTTACCAGCGCTCAGAAATCACATTTTGGTGGATTGATTTCCTTAGTGTAAGTAGTATATTCAGAATCTCTTTGAGCTGCTAGATACCACCCCTTGGGGGCAAGGGTACCGGGAAATGACCTGGTAGTTTGCTGCTCAGAATGATGGAGAAGCAGCATAGCAGAGCGGGTTGGAGCTAGGACTCAGAAGCCAGCTCTACACTTAGATCTGTGACCCAGGCACCTGCAGCTGACTTAGCTTCCTCATCTGTCAAATGGGGATGATGATAATAGTACCTACTGTGTATGGCCATGATGAGGATGCAATGCACAGTTCTTAGAGCAGAGCCTGGCACATGGTCAGCACTATATAAAAATTTGTTAAACAAATGTTAACACCACCTTTCAGGACGGGATTTTGATAATGTGCATCCAAAGCCTGGACCCAGCAATTCCACGTCTAAGAATTTTTTCTAAAGAGATCATCACGGACAAGTGTGAAGATTTATCCTCCAAGAAGCTCATTTCGGTAATAAGTGACCATCAATAGGGGGCTGGCTAAATAAACGGCAGTGGAGGATAGTCATATTTTACGCAAGGGATGGTATTGCTGAAGGTCTCGCAGAATGCAGAACTTACATTACGCAAGATTAAATTTCCTACGAAAAATCAATGGAAAGCCGGATTCACATTATTTCAAATTTTGCCCATAAAACAAGATTTAATTAATATTTTATACCCTACTATTTCAAACTGTGTAATTCAAATTTGCATTTAATGTAACCTGATTGTATCTTTATCATGGGGCCACACAAAAATTTACGTTACAGAAGGATAAACAATGGCCAAGGAAGATACCCATGATACATCAATTTTTAAAAGTGTGACCCCCATTTTCATCAGATAAGACATTTTTTAAATGCTGGAAAAATATACCTCAAAATTTAAAGTGTGCTGGACAACCGGTAATCTTTGTTTCCTTCTTTTTATTTACCTACCTTTTCTAAATGTTCAAGGAACATGTGTTATTTTCGTAATAAGAAACAATAAAAGGAAATTTTAAGGAATAAATGTAACAATGATACTAACCTAACTTTGACGAAAGCTTTGGAAATATCTATGCAAAGAAATAGATACATAAAAGAGGGTAATTCCAACCTGTTAAGTGATGTCCACAGCTTTAGTAAACTGCAGACTTGCCTTTTTCTCCAATACTTGGTCCCAGGGATCAGTCTGGACAGGAAATGGCAGAGTTGACCAGGGCTCGAACTCAGGTTCCATCGATCTAATCCAGAACCAAGAAAATCTTTCAGAATGCAGCAAAGATCATTTTAGAAGCCAGATTACACTGGATCGTTTACCCAATATGCCTGTGTACTTCTTTCGAGATCTGACAACATCTTTAAACAAAACAAGAAGTATGCCATTTTGGTGACTCAAAAAAGAACAAAGACATAAAGAGCCTTCAGTCAACTTCTCTTCGCTCAGCTTCCCTGACCATACCTGGCTCACTCCCAGTAGAGGGGAAGGAAGGAAGAAGCCACAACGCTTCACCCACTTCCTCCTTTCCAGGGAAAGAGCAGGTGGGGATGTGGGAAGGGGTGGGCACCCAAGGGAAGCAAGGTTTCTACACGACAGCCCAGAGTGGGCTGTGGCCTCCAGAACCTTCCATCCCGTGGTTGGCAAATAGTGGTGTCAGTGCTCCTTCGTGACCTCACAGACCTTACCTCTCCCCACACCAGCCATTCTGAACCCACTTGAAGTTTTCATTTATTTTTTGCTTTGAACAAACACTCTGCGCTAAATGAACACATTCACGTGGAGTATTGGGTTTAACCATCACAAAAAGCCTGTGAACTTTCAGCTACAAGATGAACAAGGTCTGAGGATCCAAAGGAAAACAGGGTGACTGTAGTTGGTAACATTGTATTGTATGAATGAAATTTGCTAAGAGAATAGAACTTAAATGTTCTCACCCAAAAAAAAAGATAAATATGTGAGGTGATGGAGTGATGGATGAGTTAATTAACTAACTGGGAAGAATCCTTTCACAATATGTATGTATATCAGATCATCAAAATGTACGCTTTAAATATCTTACAATTTCATTTGTCAATTATACGTCAATAAAGCCGAAATGAAAAAATAAATTTTTTTAAAAAAAAGCCTATGTGGCAAATACTATTATTTTTCCAGTCTTTCTGAGCTGAGAGAGGTAGAAGCACATAGAGGCTGAGAGCCTGGGCTCTGGTTTGAATTCTGGATCCACCAGGCCTCTGCGCCATGTAAGCTGCAGTGTTACCTCAGCTTTCTGCGCCTCATCCTTCGTCTCCTCATCTGTCAAATGGAGGTGATCATAACAACACCTACGTCATTTTGTTCTGGAAAGCTCTTAGAACAGTGCCTGGCACAGAACGAACGCTCAGGGTGTGTTAGCTAGTATGCAACAGACGAGGAAACCCAGGCTCAGACAGAGGTACTAACTTGCCCATGGTTGCACAGCAAGTGTTGAAGCCAAGATTTGCTTGGGTTTCCTTGAGATTCCCGGATCTTGAAGTTTGACTTGGGTCTTTTTTTATATCTCTCGTGTCTCTCATTAACATGCTTGTGCTTTCCTCTCCCTTTTTGAGCATATGGAGCGTGTTTCTAATGGCTGTTTTCATGTCCTTGTCTGCTAACTCTGTCATCTGTGACATTTCTGGAGCTGTTTCTATTGATTGATTTTCTTCCCTTCATTATAGCTCCTATTTCCTGCTTCTTTGCATGCCTGGTAATTTTTTCTTGGATGCCAGACATTGTGAATTTTACATTGTCAAGTGCTGAAATTTTCTGTCTTCCTTTAAATACATTTGCATTTTGTTTTAGAATGCAGTTAAGTTACTAGAAACAACTTGAATGTTTCGAAGCCTGCTTTTAAGATTGCTAGGCAGGTCCAGAACAGTCTTTAGCCTAGGGTTAATTTGGGCACTACTGAGCAATATCTTTCCCAGGATTCTGCCCATATCCCACATGTGATTGGTGAGAATACAAATAATTCCCGACCCCGTGTAAGCTCAGCCTGATTCTTCTCGGTGCCCTTTCCTTGGCCTCAGGTAGTTTCCTCTGATCTGCACTCAGCTGAAGATTTGAGCAGAACCTTCTGCAGATCACCAGAATCTTACCTCTGTAGAGAGAATTGGCTCCCATTTCCCCAGAACCTTGAACAGGATCTTGAATTTCTAAAGTCTTCAATAAGTAGTTGTTGTAGGAATAAATATTGTCCTGTTCTCCACGTGTTAAGCCAACCTGGGTCAGGGTTTAGCATTTGCCTTCTGGAAAACATCCCACGATTGCCAAACCCAGCACAATTCTCCGCTAAAAGAGAACAAAGTTCACTTCTCCAGGAGAAATTAAGTTGGGGACAAGCATAACCCTGGGACGTAAGCCATCTTCTGACATTAGTGGCTGAAGTGAGATCACTCCAGAACGTAGAAGTCCAGGGCTCCAGAGCTGTGCTGTCCAATGCAGCAGCCACTGGGCCTAAACACACCAGTATTTTCAAAGATTTAGTATGAAAAAAGGAACGTAATGAATTTTTATACTGATAACATATTGAAATAATAATAGTTTAGACATGCTGAGTTAAATAAAACATTACTAAAATTAATTTCCGGGTCTGGCCTGGTGGCGCAGGGGTTAAGTTCGCACGTTCTGCTTCGGTGGCCCGGGGTTCGAGGTTCGGATCCTGGATGCAGACATGGCACCGCTTGGCAAGCCATGCTGTGGCAGGCGTCCCACATATAAAGTAGAGGAAGATGGGCACGGATGTTAGCTCAGGGCCAGTCTTCCTCAGCAAAAAAGAGGAGGATTGGCAGCAGATGTTAGCTCAGGGCTAATCGTCCTCAAAAGAAAAAAAGGAGTGGGGTGGCCCCCTGGCCGAGTGGTTAAGTTCGTGCACTCTGCTTTGGTGGCCCAGGGTTTCACTGGTTTGGATCCTGGGTGTTGACATGGCGCCACTCGTCAGGCCATCATGGGGCGGTGTCCCACATGCCACAGCTAGAGGGACCCACAACTAAAATATACAGCTGTGTACTTGGGGGATTTGGGGAGAAAAAACAGAAAAAAAAAAAGATTGGCAACAGTTGTTAGCTCAGGTGCCAATCTTTAAAAAAAAAGAAAAAAATAAAATTAAATTAATTTGCTTGGCGTCTTTTTACCTTTTTAAGGTGGCTACTAGAAAGCTTAAAATTACACATGTGGCTTGCATTATATTTCTACTGGCCAGCACTGCCCAGAGGGCTAGGCCTGGGCCGGCCACAGAATCTTAAACCCCACCCCCAAGACTGAGGCTGACGGGAAGTAGAACAAAGGGGAGCTAGAGGAGACGGGGAGCGGGGAGCGAGATAGAAGCGGGTGTGATATATTTCATCTCGAGTTCTCTGAGGCTCTTCCCCACCCCAATCCCCCAGGCAACGCAACATGAGTCACCTACCCATCGCCTTAGGGAGAAGGTTGTCACGGAAAACCAGAGAACAAGGGAAGCAAATTCTCAGTTTTTAAGATCAAAAGCCAAAGAAAAAGTCGTACTCCAGACTAGATAGAGCCACCACAGCCTTTATCTATTTACAACATCCAGAAGGGACAGAGCTGGACTGGGAACCAGTCAGTGCCTGGCGAAAACGGAGTCCCCCTGACTCCCCTGGGAGGTAATACAGTGTGGAAGCTCAGGGCCCTGACTTGGAGTCAAACTACAGAGGTTCAAATCGAAGCTCTGCCATCTGTCAACTGCGTGACCTTCGTCCCACGACTGGGATTTGTGTGCCTCAGTTTCCTCTTCTGTAAAATGGGGCTGATGATAACAGTACCCACCTCGCTAGGCTGCTGTGGGGGTTAATGTATACCAGGACTTGGAACAATGACGGACCCCTAGCAAGTACGGCTGAAACGTTGCTGTTGACTGTCAGTGAGCCCCGCACAGCATCAGGGCTGAAAGGCCACCTACCTGGTCCAGTAAGAACTGCAGTAGCTGCCACGTTGCTGATTGATTATCATGAGGAACAATGCCCATGTGTGCCCCAAACACTGCTCAAGGTCCATCTGGTCTACCCCACGATGTCAGACCTGCCCACCGCTCAATGAGTCAGAAGATGCAGAACAGTCTCAAAGGATGGTAGGGCTCTGGATTCCTGGCGGGGGGGGGGGGGGGGGGGGAGGACAGATCTCTCCAGGGTCTGGGAAGTGCCCCTTTGTAATGAGGCTTTCTCTCTTTGGCTAAGAGACTCTCCCTAATTACCTGAAGCCTACAGGCCTTGAAAGGAGCAGGTGTGACTGGCTTATAATGCATCTATTTGCATTTAGGATCGAAACCTACATATGAACTGTCTGAGTGTGGCTGGCTTTTTAGCAACGAGTTTTAGGAAGATTAGCAGGTTCCTCGGACCAGGGAAGCCTGGTTCCTCCTTGCCTGTCCATTCAAAAGAGAGCCCAGGGGCTGCCCCGTGGTCGAGTGATTAAGGTCGTGCACTCCACTGAGGCGGCCCAGGGTTTCACTGGCTCGGATCCTGGGCGCAGACATGGCACCGCTCATCAAGCCATGCTGAGGTGGCATCCCACATGCCACAACTAGAAGGACCCACAACTAAAATATGCAATTATGTACCAGCGGACTTTGGGGAGAAAAAGGAAAAAAATAAAATCTTTAAAAAAAACAAAAGAGCCAAGACTCGACCTGGCCTGCCCATGGCCATCTCTCTAGGGCAGCCTCAGAGATGCTCCCAGTTCTTGCCTCTTCTGTAACACCTGATGAGACTGCCTAGCCCAGTGCTACTCTTCCCTTAGCCAAAGAGGCCAAAATGAGTTCTGCTTCTAAGTGGGCAAAGGTCAGTACACAGGAAACGTCCATGGATGGTGGAGCCAGATGGGATGGGACTGCTGAGACTGGGACTCATATTTGCCAGCTTGTCTCAGCCTGGACTGGAAACTCGCAAGAGGGGGCACCTCATGCCTCTTCCTAGTCCCAGAACTTATCAGAAGCACAGTGTTCGGGAATGAATGAATGAATGAATGAATGGCTTAACAGTCACTAGGAAATTATTGAAGTCATGTGCTCTCACTAGGAATATAGAAAGGGGGAGAGGACACTTACACGTTAAGGGACATTCAGTGGGAAGAGTCAGGCAACCATCAGCAAATATTTCTTGAGCACCTGCTACGGGCCAGGTACTGTTCTAGGCATTAGAAAGATCGTACTAAACAAGAAAGAACCTCCCCTCCAGGAGCTCGCACTCCGGAGGACACAGAAGAGGAGTCAGAGAGGTCGGAGGGTGACCTGCTAGAAAGGTTCTACATTTTACGGAGAGGGAAACTGAGGCACAGCGAGGCCACAAGGCTGGCAAGCAGCAGTACCAGGATTTGAACCCATGTCTATGAGACCCCCAAAGAGCCACAGACAGGAAAGAAGGAGGGAGGGATCGAGTGCCCTCCCTCCTCCAACACACCCAAAAGATGTCAGCGCCTGGGAAGTGCTCAGAGCTTAGGATTCTCAGACCCCAGGCGTGAAATCAATTGGCTGGTTCTTACCGGCAGTCAGGCCTGGGCCCAAGCTAATCTCAGTCGCTTATGAACCTATCCCGTTTATCAGCGTTAAACCGGTTAATAAGTGCAAAATTATTTTTACGAGTCCCCAAAGCGTACCTAATACTTAAAGGTATATTACTTCCAGCTCTCTTTCTTTTGTCTCCTTTTCTCCCCTGCTGATTTCCCGGAAATAACTCAACGGGAGTCTCCGTCCTCTTAGTCTGGTGATAAACTCCCAGTGCTGGTGGGGAAGGTCAGACACACACTTGGAAGGCGCATGTGTCCAGTTTCACAGGACATCTCTGCTTCTGCCTCTGGACGCAGTAGCCACGGTTTCTTGGCCTGGGCCGGGAGCTTTGAACGTTGGGGTTAGGCTGACCTCTAGTGGTCACACAGAAACCTGAGCAGAAAGCTGGCCGGAAGGGCTCAAATGTGGAAAAGCTAAGGGTGGGCCCCAGCACGGAGTTCACTAATCGCTGAATTGTGGTAATCCACAGAGAGGTTAGGTTCTGCGATGAGGTCCACACAGCTCATAAATGGCATGGGTGG